GCCGTTCCGATGCTTCTCAAAGGCCTAAAAATTGTTGGTTGGAACGGGCCGTTCTAGACCAGAACTGGCCGTTCCAAACCGAAAAAATGGCCTAAAATCTGTACCCCAGAACGGGCCGTTCTGAACTCAGAACGGGCGGTTCTGGTTCCCCGAAACGGGCCGTTTTGATTTCAGAACGGGCCGTTCCCGGGTGCAAAAATAGAACTTAACGTTTGGATCCGGAACGGGCTGTTCTGAATCCAGAACGGGCCGTTCCGGCCCACATCTGATGCTTATAAATAAGAAATCTCGGGCACAGTTCAGGGGACCTCCAAAATTTTTTCCAAAGCTCCATAGAGCTCGAAATTTCTCCCTTTTTTCTCTCTCTCTCTCCTATTGTACTTCTTGAGTTTTGTGAGGCTTATTATAGTGTGAAAGGTTGCCACAAAGCACCTAAAACCTCCATAGTTGAAGATCCAATAAAGCTTGTTACGAGGTATTACTCATCAATCTCTCGTTTTATCTTTCTCTTCGTTTATTTTATATATTACTATAATAAACGCAATTATGTATATATTTTAGGGGTTTACCGTGTAATTTAAATTTCAAGCATGTAAATAGTAATTCATAAAGGGGATCTAATATTTAGTTTATTATTTCTTATCTCATTAACTTCATCATAGGGTACCGATTGAGGGCGTTGTAGGGGTGCTTAATACCTTCCCTACACGTAACCGACCCCCGAACCCAATTCTGGTTATCAAGGCCATTATTGGACTTTTAAAAAATCTTTTATTTTTCCAATGTTTTGAGTAAAACATTGGTGGCGACTCCATAGAACCTATTTTCAAAACCATTAATTAAGGATTAGTCTGGTGTCCGGGCATTCCTTAATTAATGAGATCTTTAAAAAGATGTCTAAACCATTAGTCGCAAGATCGGAAATTTTTGGGTTGCGACATCTCTATCATGGCTTCCATTTCCTTTTTTTTTCTTTGTTTTTCTTTTTATATCCACTTCTCTTCTCTCCACAACTTAAGTGTTTTTGGTTTAACCATTAGTTTTGATAGAGTTGGTGTTGAACTAGAATCACTACCTCTATGTGAGCATGTGTATGAGTGTTTACTCATAATGTAATGCAAGGTTGAGGTAAAGGTTTTTCTATATGTCTTAAATGTTTAAGACCAACTAAAGTGTTAAAGAAATCTTTGGAATCTATTAACACTCCTAGCGTGCAAAGCAAGAAAAACAACAAAGATATTAAACAAAAGAAAATATGCAACTAGGTGTGTCCTAAGTGAAAGTTTTAGTGGACACTTTGAGTCTCTCAACACACTTCTACAAATACTAGCATTATAATTACTAAAGGAAACAAGCAAATTAGAAGTTTTTAGTGGGTACTAAGAACCTCTCAAACCACTTCTAAATGAAAGGCCTTTACAAGTAAAGAATTAAAAGAATTAAAACTCCTAAACTATTATAACTTGAAAGCTTTGAAGTCTTCTCCTACACAATAAACTAACTCATTAGTGTAAGAGATCATCTATAATGTTTGGCCACGTGTAAATAATATAGGTTTTTCATAAAATATAATATAGGTATTTTATTAACAATTTTGGTATTTTTATTTTTATATATGAAATCTAATTAATGTCTATTTTATTATTAAATATTATATTTGGTAATAATTAAATATGTTGGTTTTAGTAACTATTTATAATTATTTTTATATGAATATATTGTGAGGTTTTATAATTAGAGGTTATATTATTTAATTATTTATTAAATGAGGGAAGGGATTTTTGGGGTAACCATGGTTGACGTTTTTAACTAAAGGGTCAAACGAAGGTTAAGTTTTTTCTTCTTTTTTTTTTTGAAAAGAAAAAGAGAGAGCTAATCAATTTTTACGTTTTACATTTTTTTCTCACGAATGTGTTTACATTTCAGAGCTTGGAGAACTTGAAGGAGGAGGAAACTAACTCGAAGTCAATCATCCATCTTTTCCTACTCAACAAGGTAAGAGAGAGTGAGAAATCTCGCTCTGGGTATGAGAATGTATGTTAGGTATTGAGATTGGCCCCAATCTTGTATCTGTTGTAAGTCTATGTGTGAGGGGTTTTTCCTAAATGTATCTTTTTCTTCTCTGTTTCTCCTTGAATGTTCTAATTGATGTAATTAGTATATATGTATGAATAGTGTTTGTGTTTAGTTTGTAACTGCAGATTTTTGGTGTTCCTATGGGAGACCTTAAGGGGATACATTGATAGTTGTATGAGAGGATTATTTGAAGTTGTAATTGTATGAGTAAATTATATTGCTTTTAATGTTTATTGCATAATTTAAAACACATTCATCGATTGTATGAATAGATTGATGATTTGGATGCAAAATGCTAAAATTGTAGATTTTAGAGTTTATGATTGTAGAAACCATGTTGAGCGCTAGTTCTGACGCTAAGCGTCAAGGTGGTAGAGAGCTAATAGTGTTGTTTGTAACCCTCACGCCGAGTGTGGCCCACGCTGAGCGTGAGTTTCCCATTGAGTGCGGCTCAACTAGTTAAGGTTACTCTCTGGAAGCCTTGCGTTGAGCACCCAATTTGGGATTGTGCACTAGTTGCCTCGTTATGCTTCTCTCCTTCTTTGTTTGATAAATTATATCGATGTAATGTGAATCTTATGTTACTTCTCTCTTGTGATCTATGATTGGTGTGATATGAATTTCTTGTGTTATTCAATGTTACCCTTAAATGAATATACTTGATGATTATACGATGTGAGATAAATTGATATGATTGAAATGACATGATGAGGTTATATGATAATAAGACATGATAATATGATAAAATCCGTGGGTAAAATTCATGGGTAAATTACCCATGGATAAAATCTGTGAGTAATTCCGTTGAAAAGTTACCCACAGATTATAATCCGTCGGTAAATGTTTCAGACAAACAATTTTTCGACGGATTATTATCCGTCTGTAATCCGTCGAAAATGAAGTGTTACCCACAGATTTTTTGGATTACTCACGAATTTTGGTCATCTGTAATTTCAAAATTTCTTGTAGTGATTTCAAGAAAAAAGTAGATCCATAGAATTTTCATGCAACAAATAGATCTACATAACATATACTACACAACAAAATTAGAAGACTAAACCCCCATGGATGAAAGCAAGGCTCATGATACCAAATTGATGGATGTTTAATGGAGAAAGGCTTGGTGATTTTCTTATCTAGCTTACTCCTCTGATCTTTATCCATGACTCTAAGATGCAAAGAAAAAATTTAAAAAGTTGTAGATATGAAAGTGGTTTAGGCATGTCACCTTCAAGGAAGGATAAACAAGAAGTGATAATCTTGCCACAAGGAAGAATTTCTTGATGAAAGATCTTAAAGAGTTTCACTCTTTAGAAAGAACAAGACTTTTGGAGAATTTAGAAAACTAACCTCATAAAATGATCAAAAGTGGCGTCACATTATAAGGAGAAGTTATATGTAGACGAAGCTAGCTTAGGAAATAAGTTAAGTAAGCAAAGTCATAAAGAAACCAAGGTTGGCTAACTAAGGTAAATTTTCAAACCAATTTGAATTTAAATAATGACACCAATTCTAATGGCTATAGATATCATGTGCTCTACATCTAAACTAGCCTATAAGAGCTTGTCATGTGACAAGTGTGAATGATGTAACTAGTATGTGCTGCATTTTATTAATTGGATTTGTGTAGTCCATGGTAAGTGTAGGAAGCACCCATGTGGACATCCTACATATGTAAAAAGGCGCAACCCATTAAGCCCAAACACAAGCCCAATTAATTATGTGTTATATACTAGTTGCACCCCCTAAATTACTAATTACACTCAACATGAAAATACATAGAAATAACACCATAAACTACTTGACCCAAAATACAAGGTCAAAATAAAAGACAAGAATACAAAGAAATATTTACTTGGAAAAGGACATGGACGAAGGGATAACCCAAAGCTCAATCATGAACATGAGCCTTTTTACATTCAATAACCCATTTTTGTTGGTTCCTTTTGGATTGGACCCTTAAACATGATTCCATCATAATGGTTATTTTCATGATTTTTTCTTATCTTTAAAGAATCCATAGTAGCATCACTAACAATTTTATTATTAGATAAAGAAAAGATTAAATACATAATTCGACTTAAGTGTAACACGCAACGATCATTTTAGCCTTAAAACAAAGAAAAGGCGGGTACCCTAATTGACCAACTTGCATTGTCTAGAACATATCATGTTGGTGACTTGGATGTAGGGATTGCAAGTAAACCCATATTCATGGATAATATACGAACCTTCCCAGCTGCCCCGACTTTGATAGGAAATATCTAATTTGATTAGATATGGGTATTGGTATGAGTAATACCCGATATATTAAATTAGGTATGAGACAAGGATGAATATATACTTACTTACCTTGTACCCATACTTATACCTGCTTTAAATTTCTAGAAACTTAATTTATTTTTTAAAGAATGTACTTGACATTTATATAATTCCTGCTCTATTTTAAATTTATATAAAATGAAACCTAACTAATATAATGTTGTAATTTCTACTTTATGTTACAAATTTTGTTTTTTTTTTCTTTCAAAAAGATATACTTAATTAATTTTTAAGCGGGTACAGAATATATATGGATATATCTCATATCCAACGAGGATGGAGATGCAAACACAAATTTCATATCCATCGGAAATGGGAACGGAGATGGAAACATGCATGGGGTACGAGAATGACGACGAGAATGAGAATGATGGTATAGTGAAACTCATACTTGTCTCGTCTGACTGCCATTCCTACTCAGACGAAATTAGTTAATTGATATAATGGGTTGAATCACCAAGTCCTATACTATCTTTGATGGGTTAGATGAGTCAACTCATTTATCTCTTTTCAAAATATCATCGCAAGTGATAGGATAATAAATAAATAAATAAATAAAAAAGACTTTTGAGATTTTCTTCTAATTTTATTATAATCATTCATATATTTTCAACAATTAAATTATTCAACTATTTAATTGAGCTTATTTTAGCTCGAGAGACCTTAGCTCTTTATTTAATTTAGAAATTCTAATACCTATTAACCAAGAAGCAACAACAAATTGCATCAAAGATTATTGTAAAGACAAAAATCTCTTGGCTTTGCACTTAATTAAGAACATGTAATCAATCCAGATACGGGACTTAATGGAAGTGCAGAGTCCCAAGCATATTTGAAGCTGACAACAGCATGAGCAGCAATAGGTCCACCACCATTAAAGAGACAAGTGCCCATTGGTGAGACGACCAAAGCTGAAGGCAATACAGGTTCAACAGTTTGAAATCCAGGGCACTTTAATATCACACTCCTTTGAACACATGGGGGTGGACAAGTGTTGGTCACAGACACACTCCATTCTGGCTTATTTTTCACTATAACTCCCGTTTTAACTTGAGTTACAGTCAGATTTTTCAAGGTGCAAAAGCTATAACCTGACATCATGATGCATACGTAAGAAATTATGAGCAAAAATTTGTATCACTTTTATGCTTTAAACATTGGGACGAAAACATTACCTTGTGAAATAAGGAGAAGGAAGATCACTATGTTGAGAATCATGATGGATGAATTAGCCATTTCAGATAACAATAGAAAGCTTCGATTCTCTAATACGTTTAGTATAAAAGAGTTTTATCGATCAAAGCATAAAAGAAAAGTTTTAAGGGATGAGGATTTATACCTGACCAACTTATATATATATATATATATATATGCTACTAAAATAAATTTGAACTCGTTAAAAAAAATAAAATTGAACACGAGATTTTTTTGTTTTTAATTTCATTAAGTCAAAGGTTTTTTTTTTTTTTTCCTTTTTCAGTTTCATATCTTTGTGAAGTTTTATTATCATCTTTATTTAAGTTTTCTAATCATTACATTTAATAAAATTTTAAAAAATATATATATTAATAATTACATTGTTTAATTGTGTTGATTAATTTGACTTATATTGTAATTGTAATATATTACAGTAATTAATAAAATTCACAAATATTATTATAAATTAGAAGGGTAAAAAGGTACTCCATATCTCTTAATTTTTTAAAAACTAAAAAATTAAAAAATATAATTTAAGAATGATTGTTATTAGTGGAATATCTTGGTAATTAATGTTATAGCCTAGAAAATATTTACAATATAATTGCAAAGATATATTTCATTAATTATCAATATATTCCACTAATAATTGTAGATGATTATTTATAAAATATGAGAGATCTTTTTTCTTAAAGATATAATGGTTCATTAAAAATAAAGATTAATAATAGATACACCATTCATATCCCTTTATAATGCTTTGATAATATGTATATTACCAACTTATATATGTTACTAAAATAAATTTGAACTCATTAAAAAAAAAATGCTGAGCTTTTTTTTCTTATTTTCACTTTCATTTGGTCAAAGAATTTTTTTTTCTTTTTCAATTTCATATTTTTGTGAAGTTTTATTAGCATCTTTATTTAAGTTTCTAATCATTACATTTAACAAAAGTTTAAAAAATATATTATACTAATAATTACACTCTTTAACTGTGTTGATTAATTTGATTATATGGTAATAAATAAAGTAATTGATAAAATTTATAAATATTATTATAAATTAGTGGATTAAAGAGATATGTTGTGCTTCTTAATTTTTTAAAACTTAAAAAATTAAAGAAAGATAATTAAAAATTAGTAATTGTGAGTGATTATTTACAAAATATGAGATTTTTTTTTCTTATTTAGAGGTATAATGGACCACTACAAATGGAGACCAAAAATAGTTAAATCATATCATATCTCCTTTATAATATGTATAAATGTATATATGTATATATACAATATATTTGACTATATATTTTTATATTTTATGAAGTTTTAAATATATGCTTGATTTAAAATTTGACTAAATATTGTAACAAATACAAATATTAATTTTACTATATATTTATAAATTTTTAAATATATATACCATGCTTAATAAAATTAGACTAAATATTATGTAGGAAAAAACTCAATTTTTTTTTTATTCTAGATCATTAAAAAAATTATTTATCATTTATCCATACATCAAACTCAATAGAGTTAAAAAAAAAGTCTCACATTGTCTAAAAATAAAATAAACAAAAAGTTTACAAGTTAAGAGTTACTATCACTTACAAGAATATTCAAATTTTGTATGGTTGAGTTGAATTCTAAAATCACTTTATATTATAATAAATACATTATATTTGACTATATTTATAAGTTTTATGAAATTTTAAATACATATTATGTTGAATAAAATTTAAAATATTTATATAATATTTAAATCAACCTTAAGCATATTTTTAGTCCTATGGATCGAATGAGTTTTGATTTTGATGGTCGTAAATTTTTATTTTATTTTATATTTTTTATTATCTCTTTAAAATTTAAGTTTACTTTAATTTCCTTTTACAAGTAAATTTTTTAATGTTTTTTAAATATAAAATTACTATATTTATTCCTAATCTATATCTATATATCTATCTATATATTATTAATGGTAAATAGTCTTTTTTAAAAATTTTCTGCTAAAATTTACATAATTTGGACCTACTTATTTTCTAAAATCCTTCTACCTTTTAGAATTCAAATCTTTCTAATTAGTTATAAAACTAAATTATTTACCTTTAATGACATTATTAATGACAATATTTTTAATATTAATGATGTGTTTAAAATGGTTTTTAGTTGATTTTTTATGGATTTTATTGTTAAGTCAGACGAAGCAATTCCCAGCAAAGTTTTGAATATGACAAATATAATACATATTGTTATTACTAATCTGTGTAGTAGTGTTTCAGATATGAATAAGAACAGGCAAAACTAAAGCATGAAGCAGAGTCGAGCAAAATAAGGATCCGACAAAATAAGTCAAATAATAGAAGGATCAATATCAGACGATAATACATACCAAACGAAGATACACCAAGAACAATCTAGAGCGTAGTATAAATCAAAAACAAGAGCAAAGCAAGACCAAGACAAAATTGGCTTAAGTCAACAAAACAATCATCAGTCGTTGGATAATCCAAGATGAAGAAGCATTCCAGACGGAATAAGAGTTGTTCATCCTCAAGACTGATTAGACGAAATGAAAAAGTCAAAGTCTAAACCTTAGACGGAGACTTATTCTCCCAGACGCAAACGAAGCATGATGAAAAGCATCTAGAATCCACTAGTCACAACAAGGAAGATCATACATCATCTCTGGTTATAAGAAAAGCGCACGGAGTTATCAAAGATATGAAAAGAAAGAAGAAAAATGCAAGAGTGTGAATTCACAAGTCAAAGTTGCGTGTGTCAGGGCAAGTACACCTACTTTTCAGAGAAAGGAAACGCCTCCGCAACTACAATGATGGAAAAAGGACAAACATACCTAGGTATGATTGAAGTCAGAAAGAAAAGGAGAAAAATTATGCAAAGGACTTCACGTGACACAGATTAAACAAGCAAAGCATTTAATGCAAAATCAAATGCATTAAATGAAGAAGATTTGTGTAGCCATGAACGAACGCTTATCTGCACCAACAGAAAGCACCGCCTCAACGGAAACATTCAAATTCAAATAACAGGCAGATCTATCACAAGGCTATAAATATCAAGACCAGAGAAGAAAAGAAGTAGAAGAGAGCAGCAACAAGCAAAAAAAAAAGAGGTAAAACAACCTTACTTCTCTTCTTGTGAAAAAGTTGAATATTAGTGTAAAACTAAGATAGTCTATCTTAGTGAGTGTATAAATCATTTTATCCTCTCTGCGAGAGTTACATACACACTCTAAACACATTCTTGTAAAGCTAGGGTTAGAAACCTTAGTGAGTGTCGAAACCATTTCATTCTCTCTGTGAGAGTTACAAACACACCCAAAACAACTATCGTCTGTAAAGCCTGAAGAGGCTAGCGAAAGAATACTTGGGTAACCAAAAGTGGGTTAATAATACTAGCGTCAACAAGTGAAGTTGACGAACCAGTAGTGGTTGAGAATACTTGGATAACTAGAAGTGGTTTAAGAATACTAGCGTCAGTGAGTGAAGTTGATGAACCAGAAATGGTTAAGAATACTTGTAATCCGTTGTGATTAGTGGAATCCTTCAGTTGAAGGAGATTGGACGTAGCTTAGAACGAGTGAACCAATATAAAAACTCTATGCATTATTATCTGTGTTAAAAACGTAGTTTTTTGCTTATACGTACTAATCTATCGCACAAAATTTGTTTACTACTACTTAATTTTTAAATCATATATAAACGAAGTTATATTACCCCAAACAAATATTGTAATAATGTAAATAACTAAAGAAATAAAATTTTCAACATTGCTAAAAGGGTCCATATAAAAACCTTCAAAAATGTTCTTCAATATCCAAAATAATTGAAAATAAAATTTGGAAAATAAAACATAAGAATTTACAAATTATTTTCAAAAGAATAAGTTTAACTCCAAATAGATACAAAAATTTATGTCCTAAAAATCCTCTGTCCCGATATCACAATATCAGAGCACACCCACAACTTAACTGTTGGCATTCTGGATGTCACTCATGGACGGATCTTCCTCACCTAAAACATCCACAAATTGTATGATGAGAAAAGAAAAAATCTAAATGTAAAGCTCATATAGACACACCACAATGTAATCTAATCATAACTCATTACATAATGAAATATTTACAACCATTTCTGCAAATCGTAATTATATCAATCATGCATCATCTTTACATCACAATTCTTAATCACATCAATCCATCACTTCATAAAATTTGTACTATGTTAAGCTCACGCCACCCTTGTAGCATCTCGTGCCCAAGGTTGTGCCACGCCATCATAAGTACTAGTTGTCGCACACAAATTTTGCAATTAACACTATGTCATGCTCACGCCACCCCTGTAGCACTTCTTGCCTAAGGTCATACCATGCTGACATACATGTTAGTTGCCTCACACGTCCCACACTATGACATGCTCACCCACCCCTGTATTTTCTCATGTCTAGAGTCGTGTCACGCTGACATATGTGTAAGGATATCCACAATCACATTTCATTCACAATTATCACAAATCTTGCAATTAACACTATGTCATGCTCATGTCATCCCTGTAGTATCTCTTGCCCAAGGTCATGCCACGCTGACATGTGTGTTAATTGCCTCACACATCTCACATTATGCCATGCTCACGCCACCCCTATAGCTTCTCATGCCCAAGGTCGTGCCACGCTGACATACGTGTGAGGATGTCCATAATCATATCACATTCACATTCAACACAACATCTCATTTAACATACTCACATCATAATTAATTGAACAATTAAGCCACAACATACCATTCGCCACATCATGCTATCAATTCAATACTAAAATGGTAGATAAAATATGTATACATTTGTGTCAAGACATCACACTACAGTCCATAACTCAATTCCACATCACATACACAATATAGATAAGTCCACATAAAACAATGGTTCACATACCCCTCACGCAATTCACCATGAATTCACATCACATCATTATACATATATGAACTAACTCTACAACCTAGTATCATACTACTTTAAACAACTATTCAATTCACATGATATATAACACCTTAGAACATCAAAACAACATATGTCTGCCTTTGACAACTGTCAAAGAAAACAACACGCACAGAGTTATACTCATCCAAATGAGATAAAACCTATCTCAAAAGAAATATAAGAGGATAATCTACAACTCCTATGAAGACATAAATTCTAAAAAAATCATCTACTTAGCTAAAAACTTAAAAAAACCGCAACAAATATAGTTCATGCTGACAACTTGACTCATGTTCACTAAAACAACCATAACTGGAGTTCTAAACCTCCTTTTTAGGTGATTCTAACGCCATTGGAAAGCTAACATCCAAGGCTACAACTTTTATGAAGACATCAAAGTCTAACTCGGAAAGAACCAAACTCCTCAGCGCCTTGCAAAGCGCTTAATTCTTTACCTCTAGGAATTCTCCTCTGCCACGCGACCTCTGAAGGGCTCAGCCTTTCAAAAGTGCTCAATCGTTTCCAACAGCTCATCCCTTTGTCTCCAGGAATCATTCCCTGTCACACGGCCCCCAAAGGGCTCAGCCCTTTTAAACAACTCAGTCGTTTGATGACAACGGACCTCCACACTTGAAACTCAAAAAATTCAACATGCGACCCCTAGAATTCATCCCCATAACTACATATTTCAGAGATTGTATCAATAATAAACTTTTAATCTATTCAATAATTCAATGGTTCAACCAAAATCCAATGTTCTAGCTTCCCTTACGAACCTTAACTCACAGGCACATTTCCAATGATTCAATCTCTCTCCCAAAACATAAATTTTAACAATTCTTCATATATTCGTAATCATAAACACATACAGAATCTAATAATACCAACAATTCTCCAAACAGAAACAATTATAAAATTATTAAAAATTCCTAGGGAACTTTTCTCCATCCATTCCCTCATGTGACTCTACCCATAAATCTCCTTTTTCCCCATACCTAATGATGCGAATCCGAATAGTCTTTGTGTGATTTGAGATCATCCCAAGTACTCTTCCTCAAAGCTCATTGTTTCTCCTCTCCCTTCTCTTACTCCTTCCAAAAATGCCAAAATAAAAACTGATGAGGGTTAATCTGCTAACCCTTCCTTCTCACTCCCTCGGGTCGGGTCAACCCAACCCAACTTAATTTTGACCCATTTCTCATTCTTTTCCAAAACAATTATGAAATAAATAATAATAATAATAATAAAATATATTTCTCTTCAATAAAAATAATAATAATTATATCTCTATAGTCCCAAAAATATAATAAAAATACAATTTTATAAATAATATTATTTTTTAAAAAATAGGGTGTTACATAATCTCTATTTCATTTTATATTCTTCTCCTTCATCTACTACATTTTTATGTACGTTGTTAGTTTTCCTTTTCCTTTTATTTTTTGTGTTTGTAGTATCAAATTTTTGTTTCGTGTTCTCTTTAGATGGTGGATTGATGGTGACAAAGTTTAACAGTGACAAAATATGTATGACAGTGACAAGATTTATATTCTCCAATTTGACTCTGTTAAAAAAACTCTCTCAAATCTAAGAACATTTGTCTTTTAACTTCCTCATTGTTTTTCGAAGGTGGTTTATAACATCATGTTTCACTCTCCTCATATAACACAAAATATGGATATTCGCTCACTAAAATTGGATAATCACCCACTACAAAGCCTATAGTTTCAAGGCATTTTGTCACCTGAAAGTAGTAAGCTAGAAGGTTGTTGGTCTAGGAGGTCAACCTAAAGGTGGCCATCCTAAAGAAGTCAATCTCGAAGATGGACCTCTTGTTAAGGTTCACTATGAAGTGGTCAACATGAAGGTGGTTGGCTTGAAGGTGATCGATGCCAATTATGTTGACCCGAAAGGTGCTCTTCCTGAGGAAGTTGACTCAAAAGTGGTTGGCCTCAAAAGGTGATCTTCTTAAGGAAGTCGGCTTGGAAGTGGTTAGCTTCAAAGAGGTCAACCCAAAAGGTACAAGTATGTTTCTAATTTAAAATTATATATTAATTTATACAGTTTAATCAATTTATAATTTGGTTGCTCTTTCAGTAATATATTTATTACAATATTTTAAAACAAAAATAAACAAAAATAGGGTTATGATTCATTTGTTCGACTCCTAATCTTGATCGATTTGATGATCCATCTATGTTTTAAAACAATAATTATACCCTCATATAATATATATATATATATATATATAGGTTTTATAAGAAATACATGAAAGAAAATAAAAGATATAATATCTAAATGAAATTTAATTTAGTAAACAAGGCGTGCATGAATTGGTTTGGCATAAAACCAAACCAAATATTCATTCATATGTATGCTTTCCATCCCGATATATTATCCTCTAATAGCAATTATATATGCACTACTGTAACAACCAGTCAAAAATATTGAATTTCTTTCCATTCTTACTGAGCCATCAACTATTAGCAACTTTTTTTAAGATCAACCAAACACTTGGTTCTACTAAATTTGTAACAAATTAAGAAGGACATTATAACTGATCTTCTAAATGCTTTTGCAAAATGACATTTATTGCAGAATGCAGAGTCAAAAGAAGTTCATCCAGGAAAAGAACAACCAAGCACTTCAGCGCCAACAATCACACAATGACATGATACAAAGGAAGACATGCTATTTGTAAATAAAGTAATTAATATTCATTCAAAAAGGATGATAATAAGATTCCCTCCAAGGCACAGACAAAAACACGATCCATCAAAACATGAAAACATGAAAAGAAAATAAGCTTCACAATAACACAGTTAAACATATATATACAGCTAATGGTCAACTCAAAATTATCTTTTAATATTGACGGCTAAAAACTTAATGGAAATCTCCATTTTAAGTTACTTTATTAACATAAAGGAATAAATTGAATTTTTTTAAAAGATAAAAAATAAAAAATAAAATAAAATAAAACACAAAATTAATCTAATTTCACCTACAATATAATTTATATATTCAAAATGTTTATTTTATATGAATTTTAATTATATAAAAATAACATTATCATGTGCAATATAATTACTAAAACAGTATTTACAAATAACTTCGTATTGTTTCTTTTTAAGTGATTTTATATTTATATATATAAAAAAATCTATTTTTGGTACAGAGAAAAACTGATTATTTTGAACAATTAAAATGAAATAATGGATTGTTTCAACGGTGAAGTATTTTAGTGAAATAATTAAAACTATGATGCCAAATTTTGAATTTATGGAATAATTAATTAATTACTATATATATATAGTGGTTGCATCTGCATATGTACATTAGCTCTAACGCGAACCGCATTTTGTTTCTATATTTTCGCTTTATTTACGGACTTATTTAATAAAAGATCAAATTTACAGTTGTGGACTGCAGAAGTGAAATATGTGTAGAAATACCTGGTCAAAATAAAATTTAAAAGCCTAAATTAGCCTGATGTAAGCACCTTTTATTAATATGGAAATCAGAACTTAATCACATCTATTTTATGCAAGAGTTATTCGATAGAGGTTTCCACATGGTGTTGTCAATTTTTTTTAATAATATTAATTAAAATAATATTTAATTAAGGAAAGTTATATTTTATAAATATAAATTAAATTAATTTTTAGATAGTAATTCTAGCATATTATACACACGATTATAGAAGAAAAAAAACATTTAAAGTTTTTGAACAGTACAAATATATATAAAGTTTATTATACATATCAAACATGACAAAATAGTAATTTAAAATAGTACACATTATTGTCTCACACAACAAAGATAATAGATAATAGATTCATGACTCCTAGGGCATACTCATCACAGCACAAGAAACCAAGATAGTCCAAAAACAAGAAATGTCCCTGGCTAGAGCATAGAGCAAAAACTTCAATCTTTCTTGCCCAACAAAGTGAGGATGAATTTCTTGTAATCCCCTGAGATTTCCTTGGCCAATGCATCCTCAAGGTGAACACTGTTTCTCTTATAATACACCTCTTTGATGTGCTTCATGTCTTTCTCAGCCCTTGAGACCACCACACGGGTGATTGCATCCTCATCAGTTCCAACCCTTTTGATGGCATTGCGCAAAACCTATACACCACATTAAAAATTAAAAAATAAATTAAGGGTACATCAATCATAATAAATTTAAGCTTAATCTCTTTTTTTTTTGTCACTCATATTTAACAATTTCATGAATTTTGTCGTATAAGATTTGAAATTTCACATTTTATCACCCAATTTTTAATGCATATTTTATCATTTCGTTAGATGATTGTATAATATCATTAATTGATTACTAATGTGATATGTTAGCTGATAACATAAATTGCTAGCATGACATATAAATAATAATATGACATAATATGTTAAGTTAGAAGTCAACGGTCATTTCAATGGTCAACTAATGACAGTCAATAATGTAGAATAAAGTTAAGTGCAAAATTCATAAAACTATAAAATTTAGATGAGAAAAAGTGCAACTAAACTTAAAGTATTACTAAAACTCTATCCTCGGCAAGAAATCATAATTGTTAAGAACAAAATCTATTTTGAATTATTGAAATTCAAATCCTAACATATATGACTTTGGTTATTCATGAAAATCCTGATCTGAAAATTTGGATCATAAAAATTTAGGTTTGCTAAGGTTAAAGATTTCAACTAAAATAATACATAATTGCAAGCAATGCTTTGTACTTGCAGATATAAAATGAGAATCTGACCTTTTCATAGTACTTATTGTGGTCATTGAGACATCTAATGGCAGTGTGCAATGCCTTGTGGAAATCATCAGATGCATTATCCAACAGTTTCTGTAATAAATAAATATATACACACATCAACTATTTATCTTTTTCTAACATGTAGAGAACAATCAAGAGGGTAAAGTAAACCTTTTCTTTTATACCTTGGTTATGGAAGTGCCATGGTCATCTCTGTAGCAGTTGAAAGTTGCCATAAGTTGGGTCTTGCTCCTTGTAGTAAGGATCCTAATGGCTTCTTCATGATTACCCTTTTTCTCCTTGACAGATTCATGAAGAATATCAGCTTCACTTTTTGCCAATTTAGCATTGATCTCATCACCACCATACCTAAATGAGGTCACCAACCCAACCAACAGCTGACCAAACCCAAAACCAAGCACAGCCTCAAAACCATCAGTATATACTTTTGGTCAAAGTTTTAAAATGAAATAAAGATGAACCCAATGTGGCACTATTTGTCTACAATTTCCTCCAATTTCAAGAATCACAACATAATTTCAACTCTGACAGCAATTTAAAACCTTGATCATGACCAATCTACAACTAGTCACAACCCCAATTTTAAACCTTGCTTTTGATTAGCCTTCACTTGGAAAGAGAAACATATTTTCTATTATAGTATAAGAAAAAAGGTTATATATCAAAATCGTAAAATAATTTTACATTTTCATCCAATCACAAAGTCTTGTACGATAAGATTGTTCACTTGTACAATAATTACCTTAAAAATTATACCAACAGCAATTAATTGATAAACATTAGAAAAGTTTTTAAGGCAGTACATAGTTATTAAACCTATATAGTGTTATCCTATATGTGTGAATGATGTGAATTGTGATAATTATTAAGGTGGTGAATCTATGTGATGAATGAAAGGAGCAAAGACATAACACTATCAATTAGGATAGTGAATGATGTTTACCTGGCGAAGATGGCCAGTGGTATTAGTGGCTATATCTTCTTCCAAAGATCTCTTGTAACGGTTGTGATAGGCACGCCTCACAGCCAAAACCTCTTCAGGGGAAAGCACACAAGCAATTTCCACAATCACATGGTAACCTTTGCTGCCACTCTTGATGGCCACGTTGGCCAAAACAGCATCACGATCTGCATGTTCCAGCATCCAACGGTACACAGCTCTCTGTTTTGTTTAGACCCCATTATTCAAGATCATTAGTAGTACTCTTGAGGCTATATGTCACAAATGACAAAACCATGCCAATTTTAGGCAACATGTTTTTAGGTCCCAAAACTGATTTTTAAAATCCATGATCTTGATCTTCATATACAGAGACTTAAAGAGGCTTGAGACACATTTTGTTCAAATACTTGTTTTTTTTAGCAAAATCAAGTTCTAAATTTCTAATAGTGGTTACCTCAAAGTCTCCAGAGAGCTCAGACTCTAGGCGTTTGATGAGGTCTTCTTGGTAAATTTCCTCATAAGACTTTCTGATTTGTTGCCTCTGATAAACATTTCTGTGACCCAATATTGCAATAACGGTTTTCTCATCAGTCCCCCATCCTACACAGTTCAAAACCATTAGATATTAAATACTATATGCTATTTTTACTTTCTCAAGATACATCATCATCATACATATTGATCAACTATTTCTTTAAATAGACACTTAAATTTGTATTGAACTTTGTCAGAATTGGTATAGATTAGAGTTAGAGAGGCATATGTTTTCCATCAAAATCACAGAATCAACATTCTTGATGAATTTTCAAGATGGCAGGAAAGTCATATCAAGTTCATTAGCCAATCAATCAAAGTATTTTACTTTCTTTTTTTTTTTTTTTTTCAATTTAAGGAATGGAAAGAGAAATGATGCATATATAATAATATAAACCTTGGAAAGCTTTTCGAAGAGCTTCTGCATCTGCACCAGGTGAAAAGCTGGTGGGAGCAATAAGGGTGGCCATGGTTGATTAGTTGTGCTTTCCTCACTAAGGTGTTGGGTACGTTGGAGTTTAGTTTCCTATAGCTCTTGTATATATAGTACATCACACTCTATTTTAACATTTTCTTTTTAATACTTTCTTTAAATCACAAATTTTAGCAAGTTTTATCACTAAATCAGAATAGAGACTCAGATATAAAATCCATAAATCTGTGATTTTTAATAAATTTCAACATATAATAACATTGCCTTAAAAAAAAAAGTGTTGCTTTTCAATGAGAACAATTAATAACTATACAGCTGTGAATAAGCCTGTACTGTTTGCTACTTTTATACCAATGACAAGTTTGTTTAGAGCAATGCCAAAATCTTTTGGAACTAGAAGAAGATGTTGTCACTGTTCAATTTGGACCCTCATGTAATAAATAGCCATTACAGATTTACAGCTATACAGCTATGAACTATGCTTTTACTGAGCCAAAATTTGTTAAGAGCAATGCCATAATCTTCAATAATCGCTGCCAATTTGGACCTTTAGATAGTCAGAAAGTAAAAGAATCATGTAGCAACAATATTCTAATCTATTGGTATTTGACTATTTAGTACTGAATTATTTTTTCCTTGCCAACACTGAATGAGTTACCAATGCCAATGTGCAAAAATGGATGGAAGATATATAATACACAAGTTATATATATCTTGAACTTTAAAAAAAAGGGAAAAAATGACTAAAAAGATTAAAAAGTAGTACATTTTAATTTTATTATAAAAGTAAAACCAGAAGAAGAAATTAGGACAGGGTGTTACATTCTATTTTATTTCCGGGACAAAAGATACCTCATAAATGTGAACATTTCCCAATTAGAAATCTAAATTTTCATTCACCTTATTGTGAAACTACTCTTTCACTGTTTCTAACTTTAATTTGTTACTAATTTTTATCAAACCATTATATATATAAATTAATCCATACCTAACTCTTATTAAAAAAAATTAAAATAATTATCTTATAATTAGTTGGTAGCTTAAAAATCTTTACCTAACAGCATATAAAAGCTAAACATTTTCTATTTAAATCGAACAAAATATACTCGAGGCAGATTTACACTTATATTATAGGTAACCATTTTTGTGTCAGAAATATAACTGATATACACAAGAGGGAAAAAGTATAATTCCACGTATACCCCATTATAAGCATGATTTAAATGTCTTACCTAATCAAAATGCAGCAGAAAAATTGAGTGGTTGAAAACTCACACTGACATTAAGTATATATGGTAATTCAAAATTAGGCTTTATTCTCTATATGAAGAGGGAGAGAAAACTACTACTTATTTGATTTTGAGTAAATGCTTTTATTTTGTTTTATTCTCAAAGTTTTATCTTTTTATTTATTTATTTTATGCTCATTTTTCAAAATTTGTGTATGAAACATTGAACACATCAAAAATTTTGTTTTTACTATTGCTACACAAACCTTTTTCAATAAGGAAAGAGATCGGAATATTAATTATTGTGGTACCACCCTCAAGAACAGCATAGATAGATCGAGGATAATTTCAACTAACAAAAGGGGATTAAGAGGTCATTCAACTACACGTGTCTTCTAACATGGTAAAAACCAAAAAAAAAAAAAAAAATGAAATAAGGTCTCTCCAAATGTTCTAAAGAGCCAAGAAGATTAATTAATTGATCAAGAAATGCAACTCACATGAAGAATATTTTATAACTTACGTACAGTCACTTTATGTACAACCTTTAAATAGAAAAAAAAAATTTAAGAAGTGCAAATCTAAAACATTATTTGAACATTAATGCAGCATCATAGGTAATTATCTCAATCATTTTTTTTTATCTTTTTAGTAAAATAAATGAGCTCAACACAAATAATTAATGTGCTAAACTTATGATTGAATCGTTCAGTCAGTGTTCATTAATCAGGTTTTACTTATCTCTTGATCGAATCAAATTAGTCTAAGAAAAATATTAGCATACTGGTCAGAAAGAAAAAAGAAAGAAAGAAGTATATGAAAAATTAATTAAAGTAAAAATTATCGTGTTCCATTTTAGTGTTGAAAGTAAAACATTTTTCCTGTATATAGGATATATATAAGATACCTTTAAAAGCCTTTTGTAAAGCCTCAACGTCTTCAACCGGAGATGTTTTGATTGGAGCAACAAGGGTAGCCATAGAAATAGAATAGAAGCAATCAATTGTGCTTTCCCCTTAATTTTTCTCTTATAATCAGTTATTATAACTGTAAGAAAGCCAATTGCTTATGTGATATGGGAGATTGGTTTTATCATCACAGGCTTTGATATATATTGCCAATTGCTTCCTAGTTGTTATCGCCTTCAGACGATCATAAAATATGAACGTTACTTTTCATGTGATGATTATTAATTATGTGTATTAATTAATTAGCCTTCTTTCGGCATTAAGAAAGCCACTTGAAACTTCAGAACTTGCAAGGCAACGTTGTAAAGAAACGGAAAGGGGATAGAACTTGATTCTTGGCTTCAATTTCAGTTGCTTATGTAATTTTGTAATGATTTAATAGATCTTTATACTTTTACAGCACAGCAATTAGGTATTAAAAAATTATGTATATATAATTGTATAAAGTTAACATGCAAATAATTTTTCGATATACATGTAGCAATAAAATATAGTAATCCTAGATTAAAAACATAACCATAAGTTGTCAGTCAAGTAACTATAATAAAATAGTCACATAAGAGTAATTCAATCAGCACCATCATCCTTTATAACTTATTCATGTTCTATTCTCATAATTAGTACAATTATCATAGTCCAACCACAAAGAAAAGGCAAGGATAAGCTTACAGAAGATAGCGCTTAAAGTACAACTATGCGATCAACTTCAACATATTAACACTTAATCAACACAACAATTCCAATTAACAACTTTCAACATGTCAACACACATATAAACCACACAATACAACTCATCAAAATTTTCAACTTAAACAACACAACAACATGTCAACTTACAATACCACCATACAATTTATCAATATATCAACTTATCATATGAATAACATAATTTATCAACACATCATATGCACAACACAGTAATATTATGCGTTATCACAAATTCAACTAAGAGATCTCTTACAACATAGGTGAGTAGTCTATGTGACTTGACCCTACTGAACCAACTTAACAACACAATCTTTTTGGGCTTGCTAAATCAATAGCAGAGTTGGATAAAAAATCAACAACACAACATGATTTCTCAAATTTTGCTTAAACTAGTAAAGTCCAATTTTCCTATTAGGGTTAGGACAACTTAAGTATGATTCTATCACGATCTTAGCATGCATAACTAAGCCTATTGTGAAATTAGTAATTCGACTATCGATCCTTTAAATAGTATGCCCTTTCCAGTACTTATGTAAGGGCTTTGTCCCTTGACCTTATACCATACTCGGTTGGTCACTTCATACATATATGATTCGACCTTGCTCCCATACGATTCTACATTGGTCGCTTCATAATCAATATGGTTCGACTTGACTCCCATACTATATCAACTAAGGACTTAAAGGAGACTCAACACTCCACTTCAAGAGCCTACTACTCAAGAAGGGGTTTTCAACAATTGAGCTCGTGGAGTACTACAACACCATATCCTCTCAATGGGATATTCATCTTTTAAAATATTTTTCCTCTAGTCCTAAGTCGATTGACACAATTCAACTCCATGCATCAAGCATTCTCAAAATAATTACTTTCAACACTACTCTTCATACAACTATACTATAGTTCAACTCTCATCAACTTATAGCTTTAAGCAACTTAAATATTAACTACATCATCCTACATTAGTGTATAAGGAATTATAGTCATATAACAACATAATTATTATGAGCAGTCCAACTTATTAATTACACACATGTTCAACACTTAGTTAAATAAACAACACATTTGCATTTGAAAACTCACGTTCGACCCCATTCTCCTGGCACGCAATGTCATTAGGCAAAAAGCCCCTAGCTTGCCTACTCCAGATGCCAAACTACATGTGCACGACGTGAATGAGGCAGAGAACTCGTGTCAATCACACTTAGCATGACTAAACCCACACCTAGCCTCATTTAGGCAAAAAACCTCAACCTAACTCACACCTAATGCCATTCAACCTACGCCCAACGTTGTCTAGGGACAGAGCTACTACCTTGATC